TCTACATAGTATCTAGTGAAAAAATCAACAAAGGGCCATAATTCTGTTAAATTTGGTCGCAGCGAAAATACCTTCCTTTACAACCATCTACACATTAAGGTTGTTCATCCCTGTAAGTTTAAGCAAAATCTGCCATCCGGTTTAAGAGGAGTTGCGTTCACAAGATTTCAGGACGTACGGACGGACTGACGGACGGAGTGACGGACGGACGGACAAGTGCAACGCTTTATGCTCCCACATTGTGGGGCCAAAAAAATTAGACAAGGCAGAGTTACGGTTCATGTGTACTGCACATCTACTCAATGAGATCTATCTACCTACAAAGTTTCATGTTGATACCTCTTATAGTTTTAGAGTTATGTCCCGGACAAAGTTCAAAATGTAAAATAAACAAAGGGGGATAATTCAAAAATTAGGCAAGGCAGAGTTACAGTTCTTGTGCACTGCACACCTACTCAATAAGATCTATCTACCTACAAAGTTTCATGTTGATACCTCTTATAGTTTTAGAGTTATGTCCTGGACAAAGTTCAAAGTGTAAAATAAACAAAGGGGGATAATTCAAAAATTAGGCAAGGCAGAGTTACGGTTCTTATGCATTGCACACCTACTCAATGAGATCTATTTACCTACAAAGTTTCTTGTCGATACCTCTTATAGTTATAGAGTTATGTCCCCAGACAAAGTTCAAAGTGTAAAACAAACAAAGGGGAATAATTCAAAAATTAGGCAAGGGAGAGTTACGGTTCTTGTGCACTGCACACCTACTCAATGAGATCCTACTACCTACATAATTTCATGTTGATACCTCTCATAGTTTTAGAACTTACAATTACTAATACGGTAATACCATTTGTATATTTTATCAAACTTTTAGAGTTAAAACTAATAAATTTAACAAGAAATGTCAAACAACACATGCCCCCATTTCTAGCCCTTGACACATTATTGGTTATTTTGTTATAGACACTTGCCATAAATGGGTACTTGGAACCGTTCAGTTAATTGGAAAAAAGAAAAATAATAAAGACTTTGTGATAAATAGTTTTCAAGATAATGAGCAGACATCATTCTTACTTAAAAGGCCTCTGTGACCTTAACCTTTGAACTAGTGACCCAAAATCAATAGGGTTCATCTAATAGTTATGACCAATCAAAATTAGAAATATGAAGACTTTGTGATAAATTGCTTTCAAGAGAATGAGCGGAAACCTAAACCATACTAACAAAATGAAGAGAAAAAAACTGAAACAATATTATATCATTTGTATGGAACATATTTGTAATAAAATTTTATCTCGAAGGCTTTTAGCGGGCATTGAAAATGACAAGCTGGTTGTTTGCTCACCAATACAAGATGAAACGCACAGGTCTGTTTTTCATGACTGCACAAGAACACTACTGTATAATTTACCTTAAAGTCTGTGGGTCAATATCCAGCAGTAGTTACATGTAGATCATGACAAAGTATTTTTAATAATTAAAACTTGTAAATAACATGTACAGAATTTCCATTGGCTAACGAAAACTCTTCAATTAAAGGTCAATTTATTTCTGATAGATCGCAGTGTTTTTTTCTTTATATAAGTTATAACTACAGTCAAACGTGTATTAAGCGACCGGGCAAGGGAAACACCAAAAACGGTCGCTTAATGAAACGGTCTCTTAAGACAGTCAGCATGATATAAAAGTCAAAATTTATAAATGACATCTTTTTTATTCGATGGGATTGTTTTTCAACTTCATTTTTATATAAATGTTGAATAATAAGTACGCTCCGATAATCTAAACGGATGCAAATGTAAAAATAACGTTCTGATATTTATTGACAAAACAGTTTTGATCCATTACGTACATGTTTGACATTTTTTCCAGAATTTTTTAACTTCTCCGTTGTTTTTCCTTGTCTCCAACACGAAAACCCTATTAGTGAAGATGTTTTCTGTTGTGCATTTTTTCATTTGAAATAAACAAACTACATCTATTTGTTACGATTAATTTAATGGCTAATCAAGTTCAAGGTCAATTCAATGCAGTCTAAATGTCAACAAGCGAAGCGTATACACCATCTCAGTATGGGCGGAGCGTTGCATTGTTTATCCGATATTATTGGATAATACACGTCACGCGTATACTTAACTTCATTTGCATACGCTAAAACGGTATGGGAAATAGAGTTTTTCACACGTTTATTGTTGTGTTTTGATTGCTGACACTTGTGACATAACGAGGTGGCGTTCTCTAAAAACACAATTACTTGACAGGTAAAAGTGGTCGTTTAATGAAAAGATTGATGTCAATTAGGTGACTAATTAGCGGTCGCTGGTCGCGTTGAGCAAAAGTCGCTTAATACATTAAAGATATAGAGAGAAAATGATCGGGGGGAATTTAAAGTGGTCGTTTAAGACAAAAGTCGCTTAATACACGTGGTCGCATGGGCAAGTTAGACTGTATTACTCGAAAAAGGTACTGTTCCCAATGGTAAAAAGACATGAAAATTCCCAAATTCTAATGAGAAAATTCTCAAAATGACTGTTCAAAATTCCAGCAGGCCATGATATTTCTCTAAAATGATTGATTATATTTATATTAATTACCACTCAATAGTTCTACCTGGACACTGGAAGATGTTAACTGTCTTTATTCATTATGGCCAATCTTATTTGTAGCTGAAAAGATGCTTAATAAAATTTGAGTCAAAATAACGCATTTTTTCCCAATCAGTCTGGTACCGGCACCAATAACTAAAGCAGAGAGAAAAAACCTGCTGGATCTATCCGATATCTTGTCATCATGATAATATAATGGCCGACCATCATCGGTAATATTATTTTTAAAAAATATGTATGTTTATTCTGTTCCGAAAATGTAATAAGACCTGCAAATTACTGACTTCATCATTGCATTTATCTACTATTGAAAAACTACTGTACGGCTAGCCACAATAGTGTGTATTGGCTAGATATATGTGACTCACATACAGCTAGAACTTCTGGCACCCAGTACGGGCTCTATATGCATAATGCAAAACTAATCAAGGGCCATAACTCTGAGTTAAAAGGTCTAACTGGAACAAGCGGACGATATGCGCATCTCTTCTTGATATTGATGATTCCCATAAAGTTTCATTGAATTCCAGTCAGTAGTGGCAGAGAACTAGCGCGGAAACGAAATTCGGACGGACGGATGGACGGAAGGAAGGACGGACAACGCCAAACTATATCCCCTGATCCATCGGCGGGGGATAATAAGGTAGCAGAAAGAAGTCAGGCAGAAGAAAGTAGTAAGTCAGCAGAAAGTAGTGAGACAGAAGAGAGTAGTAGTAAGACAGCAGAAAGTAAGTCAGGCAGAAGAGTAATTCAGGAGGAAGTAGCTAGGCAGAAAAAAGTAAGTCAGCAGAAAGTAATAAGATAGCAGAAAGAAGTAAGGCAGAAGAAGTTAGTAAGGCAGTCAAAGAAACATGATCAATTTATAAGAGTGATGCCTATCTAAAAGTTAAATGTTGTCTGCTAAATTAGAAATACAGAAAATATAAGTGGGTCCTAGCACCTTAGGTTGTTGATGACTTGAGCAAAAAGAATAAACAAATAATTTAGAAGACTTTGATAATCATTGATTGGTTGAAAGTATTTTTGTCTAACGTGATTGTTCCATTTTGTAAAATTCTTTGGTACATTTAATCGGCACCAAATTGTCATTGAATATTGTCCCGTTAAATCTGGGTTCCAAATCCACACCACGTAAATATTCAAACCAAAAAGTTTTTTTCATTAAAGCTGACTTTAACTGCTACTTCTCAGCAACTAATCTATTCTTATTACTTTTTATGAAATATGAAGTTCTAAATTTCAACATTCATGAATGTCTTTTCCCATAAACTTTCTTTAGCAATTTTATTTAACCTTGCATTCAATCATTTATTAGCATTTAAGAAATACTTATTAATACAAAACTAGGGGAGAATAACTGTGACAGAATACTTGGATTTTGACATAAGATGAATATCTTACATTTAGTATCTTCTTGTATTAATGAATTGAATATAAGTTTGATGAAATTGTGAAGTACCATGCATGCATATTTTTGTGGTTACTGTAACAGAAATGTCACTCATGTAACATAATTATTTAACCACGGTCTTGTCAGATAAAAACACTACATAATAGCTTTCAGATGACATTTAATCTTAATATAAAATAAAATGGAATTCAATAAAAGTTTGGTAAAATAACGAAGTACCATGCAAGTTTATTTTTTGTCACTGCTGTAACAGAAGCGTATTTCCTTTAACAGTACATGTCACTCATGTAACAGCACATAAAAATATAGTTATTATTTTACTAAGGTCTTACCAAATGGTAACAGTTCATAACATTCAGACAATCTTTACATCTTAAGGCAATATAAAATTACATAAAATGCGCTTATTTATAATTATATAAACTCCAATACTCTAAATATTTACGATTTAAAAATCCAGGTGTATTTATCATCTAAAATTTATATTTGGTGCCTTTTTAATATGAATTAATTGTTCTTTGAAAAGATTAATACAAAGCCTGTTGAATGATACATGTTTATGATTTGTAGACACAGTATCCTCTTTCTAGCTGTTAAATATAATAGTGTTACAGGAGTGACATGAGAGAAGTAGTCAGGTCATAGTCAATGCTCTTCTGACAAAATAAAGGCATTTTAAGCTTGCAAAAATAATTTTTCATCATTGGGAAATATCCCTTATCACACCACAAAAAAAATTCATCCCTCATAGATCATCTAAAAATCAAAGATATTCAAACTGAAAATGTTACGAAAATATAGAATGACTAATCAACCGACAAATGCAAAGCAATATACCCCCACTTCTTTGAAAGGGGGCATAAAAAGGGAAAATTGTGAGTGGGAATGGTAAAATTGCGACTAAGTTTAATTTGGAAAATTACAAAAATAATTTTTAGGTTGTGAACTTTACAACTTATAAGTATTAAGATGGAGGTTACCTTTGTTTGGGTGGATACTCATCATCATTCCATCACATTCACTATTTGCAAGTTTTTCTCCAACTTTCAACATTTCCTCATCTTTCAAATATTTATTACTATGATTTCTTTTGTGCTAAAAATTAAATTAGAATATTATTTATCAATGCTGTTCTTTTTATTTAAACAAATATAAATACATCGAAATGAGAAATGTGTCTATAGGATACTTTTGCCCCAATTTGTTAAGATGGGACACTTAATGCCCCAATGAAAATTTGTTTCAACTAGAAATGTGTCCCCACACTCAACTGATTTGTCAAACTTAAGACTCTAGGTCATATATTTTTTGGGCTGCACATGACACAAGTTGAAAAGTAAAATATTTTTACTAAGTCAAGGGCAATAACTTTACAAATATTGAATAGATCCACAAGCAAACCCAAAGATGCCACCATAAGTACACAGGCTGACCATGAACAATTTGAAAATTGCAAATTTATACTAAGTCAAGGGCTCTAACAAAACAAGAGGGCTCAGAGGGCCCTGGATCGCTCACCTGAGAAATATGTCAAAAGGTCAAAGTGTAGCCCCTTTTCACCCCAGAAGCACATTTTGAAAACAAGAAACAGCTAAATTTGAAAAAAAAAAATTTACACTGTCACTAAGAAAATTTTTGTGTAAAATTATTTCAAAACTGAACCAGTGGTTAAGATGTTGTTTAAATGTTGTTGTTTTCTAATTTCTAACTCTGGCAGCCATTTTATTAAACAGTTCAGCCTGTCACTAAGTGAGAGGTGAGTTAATAAAAAGATGATAGAAAAAGAGAGGGAAAACAAACAACACAAACTGTCAACCTCAATTCCCTGGGGCGTGGCCAATTTTGACCCTAGGTTTTTTTTCCCCAACAAACATGGTAGACATAAACAAGAACATGCTTCATGCTAAATTTCTAAGCTTTAGGTCTTAAGGATTTTCACAAGAAGATTTTTTAAAGTTTTTACTAAATACATGTATATATAAGGAAAGTCAATGATCCCTAGAGCAGGGTCAATTTTGACCCTAAGGCCTTTATTTTAACAAGGATTTTTTTTCTAGTTTTTACTTTATATTTATTTAGAGAGAGAGAGAGCATTATTTGAACAAACTTGGTAGACATCCACTAGAAGATGTTTCAAGATAAATATCTAATCTATAACAGTTTTGGATTGTCACAAGAAGATTTTCTAACTTTTTACTATATACATATAAGGAAAATCAATGACCCCTGGGGCAGGGCCAATTTTGACCCTAGGGCTTTTTTTAAACAAACTTCACGGGGGAGAATCACGCCATTTGTTACCCAAACAAACACGATGGTGGACGCAGCCAAAAAGTAAGTTTTTTCCTCTTTTTCTATGAAATTTGTGATGTTCTAGTGTAAGGGTACATATAATAACCTTCTCCACAGTTTGCCGGGCACACGTGATTTTATTTCATGATGTTTCAACCAATACTTCATCTGAAATGCGCGTCACAAGATTCAAAGTGAAAGAATTTTCGACCAGATTGATCGTAATAACGTACGGCTTCTTCTCTCAAATTCATTGCTGCCTTTACATATATGCATATTCACTGAAACCACTGACTTTAAAAAGTTGTAATGTGTCATCAACTAAGCATGCATGCCAATTCTGGCTAGAATTACGGCTGTAAATATTAATTTTTCTGCTTGGTGGAAAAATGCGCCGTACATTATCACGGATACTTTGTGCGCCATATGTTATCATTTCTGGAAAATGCCCCAATAATAATACTACAGCCGTAAATCTAGCCAGAATTGGCATGCATGCTTAGTTGACGACATATAATTATTTCAACTATTTAATGTCAGCGGTTTCAGTTAATAAGCACATATGTAAAGGAAACAGTGAATTTAAGAGAAGAAGCTGTACGTTATCACGATCAAACCGGTGGAAAATTCTCGCTTCACATCTGGTAACACGCATTTCAGATGAAATATGGGATGAAACATCATGAAATTAAATCCTGTGTGCCCGGAAAATTATGGAGAAGGTTTTTATATGTACCTTTACACTAGAACATCACGAATTTCTTAGAAAAAGAGGAAAAAGTTACTTTTGGCTGCATCCACCATCTTGTTTGTTTGGGTGACGAACGGTGTTAATCTCCCGTGAACTTGGTAGACATCCACTAGTCGATGTTTCATGCCAAATATCAAAGCTCTAGCTCTTTCGTTTCTTACAAGAAGATTTTTTTAGTTTTTGTAAAAAAAATCTTTCAGTTGCCATGGCAACCAGAGTACTTCATGGAATTTAATTCTTTGAACAACTTTGGTAGAGTTTCATGCAAGGAACATCCCTGCAAAGTTTCAACAAATTTGGCCATGTGGTTTAGTAGGAGAAGTTGTTTAAAGAAATTGTTGACGGATGGACAATGGATGACGGACAATGGGCCATCACAAAAGCTCAACTTGAAGACATTGTCCTCAGGTGAGCTAAAAATCCACATGCTTCACAGCTATGTTGATCATTTTTACTATTCTAACTCAAGAACTCAAGTAACACATAACATAAAGGAACGGTTTTTACTAAGCCAAGGGCAATTACTCTTCAAAAACTGGATAAATCTACAATCAAACCCCCAGGTGCACAACTACACATGACAACCAACATTTCTGTAAAGTCTCATGACTTTAGGTCAAATACTTTTTGAGCTACACACGACCAAAGTTGAACATTGAAAGACAGTTTTTACTAATTGAAGGTCAATAACTCTAGAAATACTGGATAAATCCCCAAGCTATACCCCAGATGCACAACTACACATGCATACCAACATTCCTGTAAAGTTTTATGAATCTCTTGGTCAAATACTTTTTGAGCTATGTGCGACTCAAGTTGAAAATTGCAAATTTTTACTAATTCAAGTGCAACTAGAACTATCACTTAATGTGATTAATACCCCCCACAAGACGGAAATGAGGAAGTTACAATTAACAGAATACCTTGTAAAAGAATTGAAATAGAGTTATGGTTGTGGGCAATTGAAGAAAGTTGTGGTTTTTGTATGTTGCATTTCCTTACAATATGGTTGACCATTGAAGTTTTATTGAATTACTCTGTAATAAATCCAGAAAGAGTAACGCTTCTTGAGCACTGCACTTCCTCTTATTGCGCTTGACCATTGTATGAAGTTGCATTGAATTCTAAACATTAGTTTTAAGTTATGCACCGGACAATGAAAAAGAACAAAGGGCAATATCTCTACAAATACTGAAGATGGAGATATGGTTATTGTACACTGCACTTCCTCTCATTGCGCTTGACCATTGTATGAAGTTGTATTGAATTCCAACTACTAGTTTTCAAGTTATGCACTAGACAAAAAAGTACATGCACTAGACAAAAAAGTAACAAAGGGCAATAACTGTAATAAGTCAAAATAGAGTTATGCTTCTTCTGCACTGCACTTCATTTCAATGCCCTTGACCATTGTATGAAGTTTCATTAAATTCCAAACATTAACTTTCAAGTTATGAACTGGACATTAAAAAGTAATAAAGGGCAAAAACTCTTAAATGAGTCAAGAAAGAGTTATGGTTTCTGTGCACTGCACTTCCCCTCAATATACTTGACCATTGTATGAAGTTGTATTGAATTCCAAATAGTATTTTTCAAGTAATGCTCTGGACAAGAAAAAAGCAATGGAAAAGTAACAAAGGGCAGTAACTCAATATTTACTCTAGACTGAGTTATGGTTCTTGTGCACTGCACTTCCTCTTAATGAGCTTGACGATTGTATGAAGTTGTATTGAATTCCAACTAGTAGTTTTCAAGTTATGCTTCGGACAAAGAAAGTAACAAAGGGCAATAACTCTGTAATTAGTCAAGATGGAGTTATGATTCTTGTGCACTGCACTTCATCTCAATGTGCTTGATCATTGTATTAAGTTGTATTGAATTCCAACCATTAGTCTTCCAGTTATGGTCCAGACAAAAGAAAGCAATGGAAAAGTAACAAAGGGCAAGAACTCTGAAAATACTTTAGATAGAGTTATGATTCTTGTGCACTGCACTTCCCCTTATTGAGTTTGACCATTGTATGAAGTTGTTTTGAATTCCAACCTGTAGTTTTCAAGTTATGCTCCGGACTGAGGAATTTAGACAATTGGCAATGTAATTCATTTTCATTTCCTTGATAAGTACCATGTACGCACCAAATTCATTTGAATCTGGATAAACTGATAAAAAGGAAAACAAATCTGCCATCCGGTTTAAGAGGAGTTGCGTTCACAAAATTTCTAAATGGTATGTAGTGAAAAAATCAACAAAGGGCCATAATTCTGTTAAATTTGGTCGCAGCAAAAATTCCTTCCTTTACTACCATCTACACATTAAGGTTGTTCATCCCTGGAAGTTTAAGCAAAATCTGCCACCGGTTCAAGAGGAGTTGCGTTCACAAAATTTCTAAATGGTATATAGTGAAAAAATCAACAAAGGACCATAATTCTGTTACATTTGGTCGCAGCAAAAATTCCTTCCTTTACTAACATCTACACATTTAGGATGTTCATCCCTGAAAGTTTCAGCAAAATCTGCCATCCGGTTTAAGAGGAGTTGCGTTCACAAGATTTCGGGACGTACGGACAGACAGACGGATGGACGGACATACCAATTATTCAGGTTTATGAGCTATTTCTATTGTTCTTTTCTTTTGTTTCCTTGTGGGCTAACTATTGTTTCCTTATGAGCTAACTATTATTTACGGAATGAAGTCCTTTGTTCTCTTTTGTCCCAGTGTACTGTTAGTTAGCTCATATACCTAAATTATTTGTGCGGACGGACAGACGTACGACCAAGTGCAACGCTATATGCTCCCACTTTGTGGGGGCATAAAAAAAGGAACATTTACCAAACAAGAGGGCCATGATGGCCCTGAAGTTGCTCACCTGTATATAGGCCCCCAGGGCGGGGCCAGTTTAAACCCCAGGGCTTTTATTTGAATAAACTTGGTAGACACCCATTAGAAGATATTTCACGCTAAACATCTAAGGACTAGCTTGTTGAGTTTTTTAAATAAAGATTTTTTAAGTTTTAACTATACACATATAGTTAAAAGCAATGACACCCCTAGGGCGGGCCGATTTTGACCCCAGGGCTTTTATTTGAACAAACTTTGGAGACACTCACTAGAAGATGTTTCATGCTTGATATCTAAACTCTAGCTATTCTGTTTTTTTTAAAGAAGATTTTTAAGTTTTTGCTATACACATATAAGGAAAATCAATGTCCCCCGGGACAGGGCCAATTTTGACCCTAGGGCTTTATTTTAACAAACTTTGAAGACACTAACTGGAAGATGTTTCATGCTAAATATCTTAACTCTAGCTATTTGGGTTTTTTCAAAGAAGATTTTATAAGTTTTTGCTTTACACATAAATAAAATCAATGACCCCCGGGGCAGGGCCAATTTTGACCCAAGGGCTTTTATTTGAAAAAACTTTGTAGACACTCACTAGAAGATGTTTCATGCTTAGTATCTAAACTCTAGCTATTTGGTTTTTTTCAAAGAATTTTTAATTTAAAGTTTTTGCTTTACACATATATGGAAAATCAATGACCCCCGGAGCAGGGCAAATTTTGACCCCAGGGCTCTTATTTGAACAAATTTGGTAGACACCCATTAGAACATGGTTCATGCTAAATATCTTAGCTCTAGCTCTTTGGGTTCTTTAAAAGAAGATTTTATAAGTTTTTACTATATGCATATAGGGAAAATCAATGACCCCCTGGGGCGGGGCCAATTTTGACCCCAGGGCTTTTATTTGAACAAACTTGGAAGACACCTATTAGAAGATGTTTCATGCTAAATATCTTAGCTCTAGCTCTTTGGGTTCTTTAAAAGAAGATTTTTTAAGTTTTTACTATATGCATATAGGGAAAATCAATGACCCCTGGGGCGGGGCCAATTTTGACCCCAGGGCTTTTATTTGAACAAACTTGGTAGACACCTATTAGAAGATGTTTCATGCTAAATATCTTAGCTCTAGCTCTTTGGGTTCTTTAAAAGAAGATTTTTTAAGTTTTTACTATATGCATATAGGGAAAAATCAATGACCCCCGGGGCGGGGCCAATTTTGACCCCAGGGCTTTTATTTGAACAAACTTGATAGACACTCACTAGAAGATGTTTTATGCCAAATATCTAAGCTCTACCTCTTTGGGTTTTTTAAAAGAAGATATTTTAAGTTTTTTCTATCGGTTGCCATGGCAACCAGAGTTCTGCATGGAATTAAATTCTTTGAACAATTTTTAAAGGTGACCACCAAAGGAACATTCCTGTGAAGTTTGGATGAAATTGGCTCAGCGGTTTATGAGGAGATGTCATTTAAAGTAAAAGTTTACGGACGCCAGACGGACGGAAGCCGGACGAAAAGCGATCACAAAAGTGACAGGTGAGCTAAAAAGTAGGAAAATTTAGCTGTCTTACCTCATTAAATACATGATGATTTGTATTGTTTGATTTTATAAACCTGTCATTTGCATACTGATTATACGGTCAATGCACACATTATATTAATCTTCGAGATGCAAGCAGTAATATGTGATTGAATTGATTTGTTTCTATGAATTACAATGTATACAGGTTGTCCCTGGGTTTATATATTCAAGCCAATTCTTGGAACTTTCAAAAGATAATTATGTCCTTCATTTACCCATCTGACTGTTACCTTAAATGACAAGTGGGACAGCCAGGATGGGTCTTTGTGCCACACAGATGAAAGCTTCTTACAGTCCATCAGACCTAAAATTAGGGCAAATTTTAGGGCAATATTTCAGAAATTTTAGGGCTAAGATTTGGAATTATGGCCCCAAAAGACCATGATATGGGCTTACCTTTGCATATTTGACACAAAAGTAACAAACAAATAATGCTCTAGTTTAATAAGAGCAAATGTGTCTACCAGCGTTCAATAGTCATCAGAGAATAAATGGACTGCCTCCCATGCCAAAATGGTCATTGTCAAACCATGTTCAAACCATGTGGGAAATAAATTTTTTAATGGTTGAACATGTCAAAAGAACATGTTCTATCTATGTTTTAGGAATGTTAAAAGGAATTCTTATACAGTGCAGAAAAGACTATGCAAAACGAGACAAATCAGTGTTTCTAAGTTGTTACAGATCCATGTAGACAATTTTGCAAGCACTTTGCCATTTTCATTTAAAATATACATCGATTATGAAGAATAGTTCTAAAAACCAAAGAAAAAAGTAGGGATCAAACCACAGAACTCTCATATATTAGATAATCTCTTAACCCACTGTATTATTGTGGATGTGACGAGAAACCACACAAGCTAGTGTGACTTTTCTAAACATTAGTTATATTCTCCATATTAATTCTCATAAACAATACAGACAGAACTGAAGTGGGATCAAATATTCAAATAAGTGCTTTAATGTATTCATAATTGACAGGTCAATAAAATCACTAAGCAGGTCTTTCTTCAGAAAATAAAACTTTTTTCGGGTTTATATATTCAAGCCAATTCTTGAACTTTCAAAAGATAATTATGTCCTTCATTTACCCATCTGACTGTTACCTTAAATAACATGTGGGACAGCCAGGATGGGTCTTTGTGCCACACAGATGAAAGCTTCTTACAGTCATAATTATATATATAACTTCTATCCTTAATTGATAAGAAACACTGATTTAAAAGTACAACTTAATTGCAAATTTCCTGAGTTCTTAAAAAGTAGGAATTGAGGACAAAAATGAGGAATAAAGAAGGAAAAAGTAGGAACACTTAAAAAAGTAGGAGAAAGTAGGAAAAAGTAGGAACAACTTGACAGCCTGTGATGGTGAACAAGTGAGCAAAGTTTCAAAGCCATATGTCAATGGACTTTGAAAATATTTGAGGTATTACAAAAACTTTTAAAGTACATTCTAAGTCGAAAAAGGGGCATAAATCTGTCAAAATGCTTGATACAGTTACCTCCTCCTGTCTACAGGTTGGGGTCATGATGATGAACAAGTGTGTAAAGTTTCAAAGCCATAATATGTCAGTGGACTTTGAAAATATTTGAGGTATATTACAAAAACTTTAACATAAGTGGTTACGTTGACACCGACGCAGACGCTCGGGTTACTACAATAGCTCTACTTATTCTTATCGAATAGTCGAGCTAGAGGGTGATTCCTATAAAGCCCCTTCCAAACATAGTACTATTATCATACTTGCTTCATAGGAACATGTTACTTTTGTTACTACTTTAAGGTATTGGTAAATTATTCACATACAGCACAAATATTATCATTTTGAGTTTCGGACATTCAATCACGTAAAAACCAACACAAAAGGGTATGAAAGTAAATTACCTACAGGTTATTAAGACTTGATAACATCAGAAATATCATCTCAAAATTAATAGCGGTCATCCCATCATGACAAACATTTAAGTGTCAGTCATGGTGACTCTTGACATTTGACCTATTGACCTCAAAATCAATTGGGGGGTCATCTACTTGTCATAACAAAGATGCATCCACATAAAATGTTTCTATATTATAGCTTTGTCAGTATTGAAGTTAGTGACCATAAACAAACTTAGCCAAAATAGTGATGCAGATATGTTTTAAAACCCTGAACAGGTGATGACAGTATCTTCGTTTTTGCTTCAAAAAGTGGTGCTTAAAATAAACCACCCGTCTGTATTTACCTTTTTCTTCCTTTTATACTCTGTGAACATTGTAAGTATTCTCTCTGTAAAGAAAAAGAAATAGATTCCCAGAAGGCCACATAGACCTTTATAAATTGGTCCTGTATCATGAGAGTGACCTCCACCATTTGTGTGATCATGTCCTTTGTGTCCACTAGCAATTGCCTGAAATAATCAAATTATAAAGCTATTATTTTAAATCATAAAATTATTATCATTTTCATAAACTGTCTTTCATTATGTTTGATCATTTGAACCACTCTGTACAGTTTTTTTAAAGCATCAATTAATTTCACTTTTTTTTGTTGCTTTTCTGGCTTACTTCGATTTTAACATTTTTCTGGCCATATCTTGACGGTCAACCCACCGAACAGGTTTTCCTGGGTAGATTACCAGTAATTACCAATTTTTCCTGAAGTAACCAACCACTAACCCTAATTTCTGAATCTGTGGTGAGACAAATAATCATTTAATTCAAGATCAATTGTCATGGAGAACTTAAGCATCACCTGAAAATCAAACCAGCTACCTTTTGATTTCTAATCAGATGCTCTCCCTATTGAGCTATGCTGGCAAACTATTACTTTATTTTATCCAGAAATAATAGCCAATAAAACAATGAAAAAGTTTTGCTTTGTATGATTGCTTGAAATGTTGTTTACATTTCATTTTTTGAATACCGACTTTTAGTTGATATCAATGTTTTTATTTATTACCTGTGTAAACAAGAGGGTCATGATGACCCTTATATTGCTCACCTGAATGTTAATACTCCTCATGACAAGAAACAACAAGATATGTTTGTAAAACATGTATGCCCCCTATCGGCAGACATGTGATCAGGTTATTATGACTGACTTTTGAACTAGTGACCAAAAAATCAATAAGGGATCAATACTGGTTTTGACTAGTCACTAGGTAATTGTGACTGCAAAGGTTGTGTGCAGCAATTTTATGACAAAGTTATTTCAAATCTTACCAAATAATATATGCATAAATTTTATGAATCATGTAGGCCTCATTAATGACAGCCAAGTTGTTATATTACATAAGACCTTGAAATGTGTATACCAGAAGGATTTTTAGTTTAATAAAAAAAGATTGCATTTGTGAACAAGAGCCACTGCCGGGCGGGGGCAACGCTCAACTTTATACTTTTTCTAAAAGCAAACAAAGAAATGTTTGAACAAATCTTAACGTTTCTTTTTTATAAATTTAAACTGTCTGTCTTGTCACATTAGTTGTGTCTATATATTTTGTATAAATATACATACACATTTATATATATATATACGCATTTATATATATTTTTTTAACAATGAACTTCTACTCAATGAGATCTATCTACCTACAAAGTTTCATGTTGATATCTCTTATACTTTTAGAGTTATGTCCCGGACAAATTTCAAAGTGTAACAAGAGCCATATATATACATGTATATATGGCTCTTGTTACACTTTGAAATTTGTCCAGGATATTCATTTTAAGGGACTTCTGTCGCCATCTTGTTTAAAAAATCTGATAAATAAAAAACAATTTTTTGTTGAATTTTGTTTTGAAAACTATCTAGAATGATAGAAAATGGTCTAACTAAGAAAATAAATCAGAACACCAATATCTTTAATTCAGTAATTAACGCTGTACAGACGTTTAAAGTGTTGTTTATGTGACGTCACAATGTAGCTACAAACATCGCGTGCAAAACAAGACGCATCTATAAATAGCCCGCTATACAATTGTTATTGCTTAGCAATACTGATAATTTTTGTGATAGAGTTGTAAACCTTGTCACATATGATGTGGTTGATGACCAGAAACTTATATTTGAAGTTTGAAGTAAACACCTTAAGAAATAAAGAACTTAGTGAAAAAGCTGAAAAATTTAAATCAGAAATCTTGAAATTCAGGCTATTTGTTGCCATAGCAACCAGAATTTTCAACATAGGAAAAAAAACAACAGATGTGCATAATCTCCAGACTGCCATCTACCCATATTGCAAGTTTCATAAAAATATTTTCAGTACTTTTTGAGTTATCACTGGATCCAGTTTATGTGTTAAATTTGCTATATTTTCAGAATATTTGTTGCCATAGCAACCAGAATTTTCAACATAGGAAGAAAAAAAAAAAGGTGCATAATCTCCATACTGCCATCTACCCATATTTCAAGTTTCATAAAAATATTTTCAGTACTTTTTGAGTTATAACTGGATCCAGTTTATGTGTTAAATTTGCCATTTTTTCAGACTATTTGTTGCCATAGCAACCAGAATTTTCAACATAGGAACAAAAGAAAAATACGTGCATAATCTCCATACTGCCATCTATCCATATATCAAGTTTCATAAGTTTTATAAAAATATTTTTAGTACTTTTTGCGTTATCGGGGGATCCAGTTTTGTGGACGGACGGACTGACAGACGGACAGAGGGTAAACCTAAAGTCCCCTCCGGTTAAACCGGTAGGGGACTAATAAAAATGTTATTTTATTGTTTTTCGTGAAATATGGTATATATTCTCACACAACATGATAAGAGGGCAATACATTACTTTTTATACTTGCTATAATCAATTACACAGTAAATTCAATCCGGGATTATGCGCGTGCCATTGTATTTTGTAACTTTTTCAGGAGAGCGAATTGGTCTGAAGTCTTAAGTTTACGACAAAAGATAGGACAGTTACTTGAAACGGTCTTAAGTGCAAAAACTTTTTCTCCATAAGTCCTATGATTTAGGATTAACTTAGGACTCTCCATGAAACGCAGCCAATTTTGACCCCAGGGCTATAATTTGAACAATCTTGGTAGAGGACTACACAAAGTCTCATGCCAAATATTTAACCTCTAGCCTTTGCCAATTCAGAGAATTAGATTTTTGTAGACACTTGTATATACATATAAGGAAAACTATCGCCTCTGGGGCAGGGCAATTTTAACACTAGGGGCATACTTCAAACAACTTTAGTAGAGGACCCATAGATGATATTATATACAAAATATCAAAGCTCTAAGCTTGTACCTTCAGACAAGAGGATTTTTAATTTTTTACTATATGTACAAAGTGACTGAAAATCAATGACCCCCGGGGCGGGGCCAATTTTGACCCCAAGGCTTTAATTTGTACAATCTTGCTAAAGGTTCACTACACAATGTTTCATGCAAAATATCTAACCTCTAGCCTTTGTGAATTTAGAGATGATGATTTTTTAAATTTTTACTATATACATATAAGGAAAACCTATGACCCCCGGGGTGGGGCTGATTTTGACACTAGAGGATAAATTTGAACAACTTTGGTAGAGTACCTATACATAATAACACATACCAAATATCAAACCACTAAGCCTAGTATGTTTAGACAAGAAAGTATTTTAAGTTTTTACTATATGTACATATAGTGAAAATCAAAGACCCCCGGGGCGGGGCCAATTTGGACCCCAGGGCTATAATTTGAACAATCTTGCTAGAGGTCTACCAGACAATGCCTTATGCAAAATATCTAAGCTCTAGGCCTTTTGTGGTCTTTACAAGAAGATTTTTTAAATTTATTCTTATAATTCCTTTTGGTTGCCATGGCAACCAGATTTCTGCATGGAATGAAATTCTTTGAACAACTTTGGAAGCCCTTCACCCAAGGATCAATCCTGCCAAGTTTGGTTGAAATTAGACTAGTGGTTTTTCACAAGAAGATTTTTTAAGTTCACGATATAATCTATAGAACACACACACACACACACACAAACACACACACGGGTGAATCGCTATATGCCACCGCATCGCAGATGTTGCGGTGGCATAAAAATGCTGCCTAAAAAAATCTTCCGTTGGCACTCTATAATTAAAGAAAACAAGAGGGCCATGATGGCCCTGAGTCGCTCACCAGAAACAACGGCTTTACAGTGTTAGAAATTATTTCTTAAAAGAATTTCCAGCTCTTTCGGCAAGTTCAGCTTAACTTTAACTTGTCCCTCTAGTAATATACTTTCACAACACTGATTGTTTTAGCTTTTTTTCTTCATAATAAAAAATAGGGCCACTAAGATGGCCCTAGATCACTCATCTAACCCATCATTTCATGATTCACAATATAAATTGAAATATTTTGCCCTAATATTTTGGAAAGGCTTTGTTAAAAATATGTATGTTGCAAGTGTGTTCCTATGAGACTATGTAGAACAAGCAATTATCATAGTATTGCAAGCAATCCACAAGTCCCCTACCGGTTAGAACCCAAGCAACATTCTGAAAGGCCATTGGCCATTCACTTATGTCTCTATTTTAAGAAAACTTGTTGAAAAAGTTCTTTAAAAGTGATCACAGGAAACAGTTTTTATGTACAGACAGACAGATGGAATGAAGGACACTCTAAAGTTATTATTTTTAAAATATAAAAAAACATTTTTAAAATATAACATTTTTAAAAGCAAAATTCTTAAAAAGGAGACAACTCTTGAAATAAAGATGCAAGACGTCATACAGGATGCGAGTGTAACAAAGAACAATTAGTAATGAAGGTGTTGATAATGAATGTTTTTTTGAATTTGAAGTAAAAGAAAGTTAAAAAAAAAAAAAAAAAAAAAAATTTCATGAAAAGTTCAAGGGAGGAAATTCAATTCCGATAAATTTTGTGCTAGAGTTGTAAACCTTGTCACATATGATGTGGTTGCTGACTAGAAACTTATATTTAAAGTTTGAAGAAAATACCTTAAGAAATAAAGAACTTATATTGAAAAAACGTAAAAACTAGAATCAGAAATCTTGAAATTCAGTCTATTTGTTGCCATAGCAACCAGAATTTTCAACATAGGAAGAAAAGAAAAGGATGTGCATAATCTCCAGACTGCCATCTACCCATATTTCAAGTTTCATAAAAATATTTTCAGTACTTTTTGCGTTATCACTGGATCCAGGTTATGTGTAAAATTTGCCATATTTTCAGTCTATTTGTTGCCATAGCAACCAGAATTTTCAACATAGGAAGAAAAGAAAAGGATGTGCATAATTTCCAGACTGCCATCTACCCATATTTCAAGTTTCATAAAAATATTTTCAGTACTTTTTGCGTTATCACTGGATCCAGGTTATGTGTAAAATTTGCCATATTTTCAGTCTATTTGTTGCCATAGCAACCAGAATTTTCAACATAGGAAGAAAAGAAAAAAC